TTCCGGCCGGGGATGCGGGCGGGGGCGAGGGGAGCCGGTCCGGGGCAGTTTGTCTCTAAAGCGTGTTCTCTGTTTCGTTTCCAGGTCACCAACCAGGTGAGTGAGGTGTCTTGTCGCTCGGGACCCTGGAGCCCTCCCTGGCCGTCTACACCTCCGCGCCCCCCAGGAGGGTCCCAACGGCGGGTGTGCCCGTTTCACGGCCGCCTCCCTCCCACCTGGATATACCCCCAGCTGGCTCCGCTCCTCCCGTGGTCCCACTCCCCCGTCGGCAAGTGTCCTGCATCTCGGGGTTGGAGGGATGTTCATTCATCCCGTATGCCTAGTCCTCGTTCTCTCTCCGTTTTCCTCCTTTCCTGCTCGTGTCGATGCCATCCTTTTCCCACCCCAGGACCTTCTGGGTGACTCATTTGCCTGCACTCCCTGACTCCAAGCTGTGTAAACTCGCCCACCCGGTCCTGGTCATGTCATCCACCTCCCGCACCGTGAAGTCACCTTCCAACCATCCGGTGCCCCATCAGGTCACTGCTCTTCCCCGCCCCGCCCCTTTCCTCGTCCAGTTTCTTAGAACTGGAATTCAGCTCCTTCTGTGCCGTAGGAAGCGCAGTTGGACGGTCCCAGGTCAATAGTTCCCACGCTCTTCTTGGCCACGTAACAACCCTGGAAGTTCGCCTGGGTTTGGGGAGGAAGAGGGAACACCCCCCAGCAGCCACTCGATTGAAAGAAGCATCAGTGCTGCCGGGTGTGAACGTTTGCTTTTCTCAGGTCCGTTTTGCCTTACGTTCTCAACAGGTCGTTTGCTTTTTATTGCCGTCTTCGTTTATCTTTACACGGAAATTTTCCTTCCCCTAATCTTCATTCTCATCACCAGAGAATAACGTTGGTCACGTACTTAGTTGGCCTTTGGTTTTCAACGCTTGCAGAAAATTCCTTATATAATGAAAGTAGATAGACATATTTGAATGTTGGCAGCAGAAATCCTTTGTCTTTTTCAGGGTTATTATATGTTGTTGAAAGGACTGTTATTTCCCCAACTCTTATCTCTTTAGTCATCTAGAAAAAGCTTAAAACCCAGCATATACCTTTTAGATTCTCCTAATGGTGGCGATTCCTATCTATGTTAATTTCGTTTTGTATTACCCCCCTTTGAAATTTGCTGTTCATTTTTTCCCCCCCTAACACATTTTGACCACTTTGTAAGCTGAGAGTAACCTTTAGGCAGAAGTCAGTATTTGCAACTTGTGACTTAATGCCATAGGAAAGAAGCCTATTTCTCTTAGACTTAATCCAAAACTTGTTGTACAGCTTTTGTGAAAAATCAGTTTACCATATATCTGGAGAGTGTAGGGTTCCGTTGATTTATGTGTTTGTTCTTTCACCAATACCAAACTGTTTTGATTACTGTGGTTTTATAGTAAGTCTTACTTTTCAAAATTGTTCAGGCTACTTTAGTTTGCGTTTCTATATAAGTTTTACAATCAGCTGGACAATTTCCACAAAAAGTCCTATTGTGATTTTGATGGTGAATGTGTGCCCAAATCTATAACTACATTTTGGGGGAAATTAGCATTTTAACAATATTGAGTCTTGCAATTCATGAAGATGGTACATCTCATCATTTATTTGACTTGTTACAACAGTGGTTTGTAGTTTCAGCATGTAGTTATTGCATATATTTTGTTAGATTAATACCCAAGTGATTAGTGATTTTTGGGTAAGTGATTAGTGATTTTTGGGTGCTATTGTAAGTTACACTGTTTTAAAGTTTTAATTTCTAATCGTCCATTACTATATGTAGAAGTACTTTTTTTTTAATGAAAAAGAAACTTTATTTCAGATAAAATTAATATTTCCAAAATTAAGGATAAAGCAAATATACTTCCTTGTGTCCATTATCTTAGGTAATTGTGATTTCCATGAATAGAGTTACTGAGTATCATTTAAATATTTGCCTGTGTGTTTGTTGGAAGCGTCTGTAGCCTTGAGAGCAATTCCAGTTTTTCTGAATTCTTCTTTTTCCTTCAGGCATTCCATGTTGCATTCTTCATAAAAGGTAGGATCATTGTAGTAAGCCATTGGACATTCTTTCAATGCAGAATTTTCTTTCCAGCATTTTACTACTAAGGATTCCAGATTCCTTGTACATACGGTAAATCTTGAACTTGTTCAGAACATCTCTCTTGGGCCTTTTATCATAAATTTAGGGATCAAAACATCGTTTTCGACATGTCTGAGATGCTGTTCTGTTGGATTGAGTGCCATCTCAGCAACAGAGCTCAAGATACTGGTTTTTATATTTTGACTTTTGTGTCCTACTGCCTTGCTAAAGTCACTTATTCTAGTAGCTTTGTTGTTTAGATGCTGTGTGATTTTCTGTATAGACAATCATATTCTCAATGAATAGACTGTTTTATTTCTACCTTTTCAATCTGTGTGCCTTTTATTTCTTATTGCACTGGTTAGGACCTTCAGTACAACATTGAAGTTGGAGATAGAACATCCTTGCCTTGTTGCAGATGTTAGGAGGAAAATATTTGATCTGTCATCATAAAAGGTGTTAGTTGTAGGGTTTTGGTAGCTTTTTATCAAGTTAAGAAAGTTCCCTTCTTAGTTTGCTGAGAGTTTTTATTCATGTATCAATGTTGAATTTTCTCAAATGACTTTTCTGCATCTCTTGAGATAATCATTTAAGGAAGAAATAGTATAAATTCTACATAAACATAGAAGAAGAGGGACATTTTTCAACTCATTTTATGACTAGCATTAACAGACAAACCATAATAGCAAAGACTGAAAGCCAATATCCCCCATGAACATAGATGTAAAAATCCTCAACAAAATATTAGCAGAGAATCCAACAGTATATAAGAGGATAATATATCCTGACCCAAATAGTTTATCCTGGTATTATAAAGCTGGTTCACCATTCAAGTCAGTCAATGTAATTACCTATATTAACAGACTAAAGAACAACTATTTTTAAATTATATTATTTCTTTTAATAAGATGTAAGCTTGTTTTACTGGAAATATATTCTGTGATTCAGCTAGTATTGGACTTTGTTCCTAGGTAACCTTGTAAACTATAAAAAAAATTCACTTGTTCACATTAGTTAAATAGTGTTTTGGGAGCATCTTTTTTAAAAAAAATTATTTCAGAAAGAGGGAGAGAGAGAAACATCAATGATGAGAGAAAATCACTGATCGACTGCCCCCTGCATGCCCCTTACTGGGGATTGAGCATGTGCCCTGACTGGGAATCGAGCCCTGACCTTGTGGTTCATGGCTCGACCCTCAATCCCTTGCCATACTGGCCAGGTGGTGGCATCTTTTTTGATACCAGGTACCTGAGCAGGAGGTGGTTATACTTTGATGATTAAAACATGCATAGTTTTCTGCTTTTCAGTCCAATGGGAAGAGACAGAAAAGTAAGTAAATAATTAGCAATAGTATAGGTGCAATGATAGAAATTAACAGGGTACTGTGATGAAGAAATCAGAGAAAGCATCACAGGTTAGATGGTGACAAGGAGGCCATTCTGAGGTGTTATAAACAGGAGAGATGTTATTTGTATATGATTGTTTTCTATTCCTGGCATGCTTTGTTATGGTTCAGTTTGTTTTAATAATTTATAAAAGAAGTGATGCACTTTTAGTGGGAGAATGTGCAAGTATCTAGGCAGTGATTAGTTTTAGCCACAATTTTTGTGGTTGTTTCTTTATTCTCTTTGTATTAGTGATAAAATTGAGGATAGATAATGAATAGAAATTTAATTAACTAACTTAGAATTACTAGGATTAAGCCACAGGTAAACCCCAACAATAGTATCCATCTATACCTTTTCTAATTTTCTCAAGTTGATGGAATAGAAGGCCTTTCACTTATCTCAGTTTCACAGTGTTACCATTTGGGAGTTGCATGTGTTATCATTGTACTTTTAGTTTGAGCAAATACTGGTTTTGCTCTAATGATGCCTACTTTGTATAAGAATGATCAACAGGATAACATCCTGATCATTATTAACTATTACACATTAACTAGTAACCATGTGTCTCTAGGTATGTTAAGCAGTGATTTCTTTTGTTGGTTAATATTCGGTCAGTCCCTTCTAAGAATATTTTGTCATGCTACACGTAGGACTTACCTAGAATGAATTAAGTAATAGAAAATTTATTTAAAAATTTTAAGCATCTTTTATTTACACACTAGAAGCCCAGTGCACGAAATTCATGCATGGCGGGGAGGGGGGTCCCTCAGCCTGGCCCGCACCCTTTCCAATCCGGGACCCCTTGGGGGATGTCCAGTTGCCTCTTACAATCCGGGACTGCTGGCTCCTAACCGCTCGCCTGCCTGCCTGCCTGCCTGATCGCCCCTAACCACCTCTGCCTGCCTGATCACCCCTAACCACCTCTGCCTGCCTGCCTGATCACCCTTAACTGCTCCCCTGCTGGCCTGATCACCCCTAACCACCTCTGCCTCACCCCGCACCCAGGACCCAGGATTCCCTCCTCTGGCTGGTCATAGGCCCCCGGGACTCAGGCTTCCCTCCCTCTGGTCGGCTGCAGGCACCCAGGACCTGGGCCAGCTTTGCCCAGGCTGGCCGCAGCCACAGAGGACCAGGCAGGCAGCTTCGCCCAGGTCACAGGTGCTGGTGCCCGGGACTGCGGGGCATGCAGCTTGTCCCTCTCCTGGGCCACAGCCTGGCTAGTCCCCATTCCTCTCTCATGAGCTCATTTGTGCCTGGCTGGTCCTCATTCCTCTCTCATGAGCTCATTT